TTTAGCGCAGAGTAGAACTAGCTTGGACCCTGACAAACGGGGTCTGCCATACTGGGGGCAGGTGGCTCACCCCCGAACCTGGCAGACGAGGTCAGCGCCCCGGGGACGGGTAGAGCCAGCCCCACCGTGGCACTTAGCCTGGGCACCCAGCAGTGCGGAAATCACCTGGAACCCAGGGCCACTCAGCTGGGCACAAGGGGGCAGATTGCAGCCCCCCTCGCCTCGAACACGGAGCTGCTGCCCGCAGGGACCAGCCGTCCCAGCATGCTGTGCTCCGGCTTGGTCTGACGGTCGTACCACAGAGACCACCCGTCCCAGCACTGGCTTCAGCCTGGCTGTGTGGGCCAAGGTGACGCACTGCATGCTGGGTCGCATGGTGCTGGGCGGTCCAGGGGACGGGGCTGCACCGGCACACAGATTGAGCTGGGTTTAGGCCCAGCTCTGCCACGGACCGTCTGTGTGACCTCGGGCAAATCACTTCACTTCTCTCCCTCTCCCCCTCGTCGTCCTTGTCTATTCCAGTGCAAGCGCTTCGGGGCAGGGGCTGCCTCCCTGCATGTGTGTGTGCAGCACCTAGCGCAGCGGGGCCCGGACCCAGTCTCAAAGGGCTGGTAGTGGCTGTATGGGTCACACCTGGGTCCCTGCCCTAGCTAGCGTAACGGCAGGTGCCAGTGTCTGTCCTGGGCGCCTGGCTGAAGTCCCATGGCAGCTGTGCACTGTGCGTGCCGTGGGTCTGCCAGGGGCCCGGCTCAGCGACTAGGCAGGAGTCTGCCACATGCTCACTGGTTCTGGTTCTGTTGCTTGCAGGAGAGGCCCAGACGCCCCCGCCCGGGGGCCTGGCGCTAGCCGTGGCACTGCTGGTGGTGCTGGTGCTGCTGGCCGCAGGGGCCCTGCTGCTGTGGTTCGTGCTCGCCAGGTCAGTGTGACTGAGTGGGCCCCGGGGTCACATCCTGCACCGGCTCCGCAGGCTGTAGGGCTGGTAGTGCCAGGCGGCGAATCCCACCGGGTGTGACGGACAGCGCCGGGGGTAGCGCGTCCCTGAGTCCCTCAACCCTCTCGCTCGCCGGAAAGCTGCTAAGGGGCGTCGGTGTCCGGACGTTTCTTTTCACCTGGCCCATGGCTGAGCCAGACACGCCTGCTGGTGGCGCCCCGTGTCATTGGCCTGGTAACAGGCCTTGATGTGCCTGAGGACAGAGCACCCGGCACTGCTGGCTGGGCAGTGGGACAGAGCCTCTGATATTGAATAAACTCCAGCTCCAGGCGGAAGTGACCGAGTCACCGGTGTCCCCGGCCCTTCAGTGACCTCCCCACGGCGTGGGAAATCCAGTGGGGTGGCAGCAGCCCACTTCCTAGCACCAGCGTTTAATTTGTAATGAAACTGATGCCAAGCTCAAGCAACATTTTACATTCATAACTGATGGGGCTCGGCCCTGCCAGGCCCAGAGGTGCCAGGCTCGGCCCTGCCAGGCCCGGAGGTGCCGGGACTCAGCCCTGCCAGGCCCGGAGGTGCCGGGGCTCAGCCCTGCCAGGCCCGGAGGTGCCAGGCTCAGCCCTGCCAGGCCCAGAGGTGCCAGGCTCGGCCCTGCCAGGCCCGGAGGTGCCGGGCTCAGCCCTGCGAAGCCCTGGCACAAATGAAGCACTGCCTAATGCACAGAGAGCGACATCCCAAACCAGCCGTCCCGGAGAACACGGGTCTGCCCCTTGCTGGCCCTCTCAGTGCAGTGGCCAAGGGCTGAACAGCCATGCAATCCGACTGCCCCGTTCGCCCCCAAGGGTGGCCCCGGTGGGCACATTGGCAGGGGCTGTGGGGGACGGGTGTCTTGCGGAGCTGGCCATGAACAAGGCTGCCAGGTCGGCTGCAGGGCTGCGAGCTGGCTGCTTTCAGCAGCACCAGAGCGACTGTAACTCACAAAGTACAGCCCCTCCCTAGGCACGGCTTCCCAGGCAGCCTGGCCTGCCCGCTGGAACGGCCTCCGGCACTGCACAGCGTGCCCCTGCCTGGGCAGCAGAGCCACAGTCACCCGTAGGCCCAGGCAACTCCGGGGAGTCTGGCCTAGCCCCGTACCCTGCATAGCGCGGGCCTGGGGGTGAGGCTTGGGCACTGGGGGCCAGGCTCTTTGGAGCGAGGCAGAGCGCTGCATGCTGGGGGCTGAGGCGTCTCTCCATGGATGGGCCAGGCTGATCGAAGGCGGTGACAGCAGGGGCTGGTACGTGGGCTCCCTTTGGCCCCCTGCAGCCAGCTGGGGGGCATTGCCGGGGCGTCGGGGGACATGCTTTCCCCTCTCAGGCTCTCCTCCGCTCATCCCGGGTCTCACCTTGCTAATCCGCAGGAAGAAGCGGAACGACTCAAAGGACCACAAGAGCAACGGGGCAATCCCCCTGAAGAGGAACCGAGGAGGTGTGGGCGGAGCGAGGCCAACCCTGGCCCTGTCTGGATGTGCTGGCGTCTCAGTGCACAGGCCGAGGGCTCCTAATGCCCTCCCTGGGATGGGGCCTGGCCGGCGGGGAGGGTGATGCCCTTACAGGGGCTGGGAGGCCCTGGCTGGCAGGGGATGGTCAGGCCCTCCCTGGAACCAGGGGCTGCCCTGGCCAGCGGGGGGAGGGATACCCTCACAGGGACAGGGGGCCCTGGCCAGAAGGGTTGGTGACCCCAGCCCCGTTCGAATGGCAGCAGCAAGGCTCCAGGGACAGGCTAACCCCTGGTTCCCGGATCCCAGCAGGTGCAAGCAAGCTGCGCACGCAGATCCCGGTGGCTGAACTGCTGGAGTCTCTGAAGCGGTTTAAGAAAGCGGAACTGGAGGAGGAGGGGGCAGAGGACGACGCAAATCCCGAACGGCCCCCAGTGGGGCGCAATGCGGAGTACCAGGTCGGTGCCAGAACTCACTGCACCTTTCAGTCTCACTACGCTGCAGCGGAGCTGTAGGGCATGTCTACATGGGGAAATGCTCCCCTTTGGGACACTCTGATTCCAGAGTGGCCACTTCATTAGACCCGCAGCAGGGGCCTTTTTACGGGATGGGGGAGCAGGCAGATACCGGACACAGTGTCGGTATATAATACTTTAAGTACTTTTTATTGCTTACAAAATAAACCTTACTTAGTTTACATTTATACCCCAAGCATTCTACCCCAGAGTTCGTAGTTAGACGTTCCGATGGTTAGTTGAAGTTTTATTAATTACAAGGTGCGGGGAGTTTGCAAATACCAAACCATATTTAAACTGGGCTTTGGATTAATAAATGACTTTAAATGGCCAATGTGTGAAGCCTTCATTTATAATTTACTTTGGGACGTTAGTTTTTTGGTTTTGTTGTTAACACGTAATGCACCTACTTATGGTAAGTGTACTTCATTTACACTAGGCCTTAATAGCCTATAACACATTACATGGAGATACATAGATACAGGAACTCCTCACTTAATGGTGTCGTTCTGTTCCTGAAAAATGCGACTTTAAGCGAAACGATGTTAAGTGAATCCAATTTCCCCATAAGAATTAATGTAAATGAGGGGGTTAGGGTCCAGGGACATTTTTTTTACCAGACAAAAGGACTAATATATATATATACACACACACAGTACAAGTTTTAAACAAACAATGTAATACTGGTACACAGTGATGATGATTGTGAAGCTTGGTTGAGGAGGAGGAGTCAGAGGGTGGGATATTTCCCTTACTGCTCAATGATGAACTAGCAATTGGCTGAGCCCTCAAGGGTTAACGCTCTCACTCTGCAAGGCAGCAGGAATGGAGGGTATGTGTTAGAGAGAGAGATGCGCATTTCCCCCCTAAGTACACGGCCTTGTTAATTAGATCAGGTTGCTGAGACTGCAGCTGGTGCCAGCTCCCTCCGTCCTGAGCCCTGGTGTCCCCCCCCCGCTCTATGGAAGATGGGGTAAGCGGGGTGCAGGAGCAGGGGAGAAGGGGACACCCTGACATTAGCCCCCCTCCTCCTCCCTCCCTGCCCCCTGCACAGCAAGCAAGAGGCTCCCAGGAGCAGCTCCAAGGCAGAGGGCAGGAGTAGCTCATGGCAGTAGGGGGAGGAACTGCCGGCAATTGGTAGCCTGCTGGGCAGCTGCTGCACAGGGAACTTAGGGGAGCGGGGAGCTGATGGGGGGGTTGCTGCTCCACCCTGGTTCCAAGCCCCCACCAGCCAGCTGCAACAGGCTGCTTTTCCTGCAAGCAGTAGACAAAGCAGGAGGCTGCCAAATGACATTAGAAGGGAGCATTGCACAACTTTAAACGAGCTTGTTCCCTAATTGATCAGCAATGTAACAACGAAACAACGTTAACTGGGACAACTTTAAGTGAGGCGTTACTGTATATATAAATATATATATACAGATCCCAACAACATGGGGCGCTGTTCCAGAATGGCCTCACGGGGCGCTGTTCCAGAATGGCCACATGGGGCGCTGTTCCAGAATGGCCTCACGGGGCGCTGTTCCAGAATGGCCACATGGGGCGCTGTTCCAGAATGGCCACATGGGGCGCTGTTCCAGACTAGCTGGAGCTACACAGCTATAGCGCTTGACCCTATTCTGGAATGACTCCGCCGTGTAGACAAGCCTCTATCAGCCGTGCTGGCTGAGCTGTGCTGGCCGCCTTGGTCGCGCTCTGGCCCCAGCGCCCTGGCGGGTGTGGTGCCCTCAGGCTGGCCCCTGTGCCGATAGGGCTGGCAACTGGGCGTGCCTAATCTAAGTCCCTTCTCTTCCCCTGCAGAAACTGGTCTCGGGTTTGCTGCACCCAGGCCATACTGGCAAGGAGCCCTGCAACCAGGCCAAGAACCGCTACAAGAGCGTCATCCCATGTGAGCAGAGCCTCTTGTCGCATCTTTGCTGAGCACTGTGTAAACGCTTCGTTTTACAAAGGAGACGCTGCAGCCAGGCCACCTGGGCTGGGATCCCAGCAGAGCACAGAAGCCAGGCAATGCTGGGCCTGGGTGCTGCTGCAGATGGGAGACTGCCAAGGAAACCTAGGTGCAGCGGGGAGCGGGGCGGGTGACTCAGTAGGGTGCTCTCCGTTAGGAGTGAGTGCTGAGTGCAGTGCCCCGGCTTGGCACTAGGGGGCGCTGTGCAGCGGGGAGCGGGGCGGGTGACTCAGTCGCTGTCCCCTCCAAGTCCATGCTGACCCCCATGCGGTGCTGAGGGCCCTGTGTTGCTGGAGGTGCCGTCATTTGGCTGCTGCGTAACATGGAGCCCTTCACCTCTCGTGGTCGTTCTAGATCTCACGGCACATTTCCCCAGAGTCGGGGGGTCGACCTGCCGTCCTGATCAAATATTGACTCAGATAATTCTGTTCTGCCTCCCGACATTCACCCTCCGGCACCTTTCCTTGCACGTATGAGTCTCTCTTCATTCTTGCCCTACATAGATTTGCAATTTAGCTAAGCAGCTGCCACCTCCCCTGCCAGAGGTGGCTGCCCTGTGTGGTGGGGCAGGGCTGCTGTCCCCATGTGCAGGTGGGGAATTGAGGCACAGAGAGGCTACGGGACTTGCCCAAGATCACGCAGGGAGTCGAAGCAGGGCTGTCCTGAGAACTCCAGGGTCACGGCGAAGCTGGGCCCGGCGCTGCCAGAGGCCCTGGCTCCGGGCTGTGGGCCTGGCAATGTCTGTCTGTCTGGAGGAAGCATGGGCAGGAGCCTGCCCCTCGACTGGGCTTGTCTGGTCAGTAATCGGCCCCCCTTTGTCTTTCAGACGATCACTGCCGTGTGGTGCTGCAGTCTGCTAGCCCGGGAGCTGATTACATCAATGCCAGCTACGTCGATGTAGGTACCCAGGCAGCGACGGGCGCGCTGCTGCTGCTCTGTGCGGGGAGAGGGGGCAGGGGAGGCTCTGGGGCACACGGGGCAGCCCCACCTTCCTGGCACCACAGGAACCAACACACCCCTGCTCTGAGCGACAGCTGCCCTCCCTCAGCCCTGCTCCAGTCACATGGGGCAGCGGCTGCACAACGGGGCCCTCCAGGGTGCACCGGGGCTGGACAGCGTCTCTCACAGAGAGTGACCTGGTAGCAAGGGGGAAAAATGGGGATTTTTTTCCCTGGGGATGGGAGGGCGGGTATAGCGGCATATGTAAAACAAAGCCCCTGTTATTGGGACGGCCGGTCACCCTGCTCACACACTCTGGAGACATTCCCCCCCTGAGGATGCCAGATACGGCAGGAGCTGGATAGTCTCACGCTCCACCTGAGCCCCTGCGTGCGAGGGGCCCTGGAGCAGTGATCTCCTTGTCAAAGTGAAGCGCACAGGGGCCCAGAGAGCCGGGCGTAGCTCCCAGCGGGCAGAGGGTTTGGCTACCGTGTTGGGGGTGGGGGCTGTGGGAACTGGCCCTGCCATGTGACCCAGGCACATGGCCCAGCTCAGGGCTGGCCCTGGGTATTTCATCTCATACTCCTGATTGGTTAAGTGTTGAGATCACGTGACTAACACTTGCTGTCTCCCCTCCTGCTCAGAGCTACAGGAGCCCCTGCTTCTTCATCGCTGCTCAGGGTGAGTGCTCCCGGCTGGGGACAATGGCGGAGGGGGGGGCGGGTTGCTTAGTCCAGCGCGTGGCCCTGTCCACGCCCAGGGCAGTCAGTCCCGGCTCTGGGGCATGCCCAGTCCAGCCATTCCCAAGATGTGTGGAGCTGACACACGGACTGCCAGCCAGCCTAGCCCAGGGCCTATCTAGCCTGGGCTCCTACCTCTTGCAGTGGACAGTGCCTAGTGGCCAGTCCTGGAGTGGCCAGCCACAGGAGACGTCTCTTCCTAACCTGCATCCACTGGGGGCTGGCTCATGCCCAAGGCAGCAGGTGTGAGACCCTGCTATGGCGTTATCCTCTCGGCGGTTCTCACCCTCCACGCCGCACTGAGCCCTGGCTGACTGCTGCTCTCAGTGATCCCTTGTAGCAGTGAGTTCCACATGCTCATTACATGTCGTGCACAAAAAGGGTTTCCTTTGATCAGTTTCAAACATGCAGCCGTTCACTTCCAGGGGCCATGGCCCTGCTCCTGGGTTCTGAGACGGGGCGAATAGGGGCCTCTGTCTAAGCTCCTCTGTCCCAGTCATGGTCTGCTCAGCGGGGCGACCGGGCATCAGCAGCTACAGCACCGCAGCTGGAAGGCTCCGGAGGAGTTTGGAGGAGAGGGAGGGCGATGCACTAAGCAACAGAGACTGAACTGCTCCTGCCCTGACCGTGCGGCCAGAGCCCTGATCCCTTCTAACAGCAGACTGGCGCAGACGGCTCCCACGTGCCCAGGGGCTCACGGGGCTAGTCACTGAAAGTGCTGGGAGCTTCCCACTCCAGATGCCACCCCCTGCATCCCCCCAGCCTCCTGGCTCTGTGCAGCGCCCGGGCCCGGGTCTCCAGGCTCCCGTGCAGATAGGAGACGCCCCAGCGTGAGGCCCCCCGGCCCATGGGATCAGCCTGGCACTGAGCTCCGAGCCAAATCACATGCTACGGCAGAGAAGGTGCTTACCCCTTCGGTCACTGGACTGTGGGAAACAGCTGAGAGCAGCACCTGCCTTGACCCCTCCGTCGCCTGGCTCATCCTCACCCCCGCCCTGCCCTGCTTGTGCCCAGCAGCTGGGTGGCCCCCACACTGGGCCCTGGCACCTCTGACCTCAGCCACTGCGCTCTCTGGGCTGCCCCGCTGCTGTGCATTGCTCTGAGCGGGAGTCCTCAGGGGACAGGCCATGGGCAGTGTAACTGGGCTTCCTGGTCCATTAGCACGGCAGCTTCCAGGCTACCCGGTGGTGCACCCACTCAGTCCCTCCCTGAGCCCTAGGACGGGCGTGGCGCTGGGTCAGGAGCATGCGGATACTGACGTGGTATGTTCCTCTCCCCAGGCCCGCTGCCTGGCACCGTGGTGGATTTCTGGCAGATGATCTGGCAGGAGAAGACCTCAGCCATTGTGATGTTAACGGGCCTGGTGGAGCAGAACAAGGTAGAGAACCCAGCTTCCTTTGGGGCCCAGGTCCTCAAACAGCCCAGCCCCTCCCAGCCGGGGTCCACGCTCAGCCGGGGCCTCAGCCAGCCCGGCCAGGCCACATGGGACCCAGGCTTCTGCATAGCTGTCCCCACGCGGGAGGGGAAGGCCAGCCCAGGGTGAGACGCGCTCTGGGAGGGAGCCCTGTCCTGGGGCACCAAGGGGGAACTGAGCAGAGACACGAGAGGTGGAGAGTCCTGCATGGACCAGCAACAAAGGGGAGGCTAAGGGAATAGTGCACTGAGAGGAACCCAGGTCCTGGGCGGAGAGATGGACACGGGGTGGAGAAAGACAGTGCCCCCGGCAGCTGCGGGGAGAGGGGAAGAAATTCCAGACCAACTTCCCAGCGCCAGCGCATCTGTCTGCCAGTCAGGGGCCAGCGATCCTTGGGTCTGGCCTGGGGTGATCCCTGCGCCAGTGGATGGGAAGGGGACGGGGCCATTCCCCTCCCCACTCTCCGCACGGCCGGGGAGCTGGGAGGAGGATGGTGGGATCGCAGGCGTGTGCCGTGTAGGGAGCACCGGTAACACCGTGGTGATGCCAGACATTTCCCATGGCCGGTGTCCTGGGCATGCCCAGCCCCAGAGGCCAGGCCAGGGTCGTTCCCTGCCAGGGGCTCCCCTCCCCACTCACCAGCACAGCCCTAGCGGAGGGTGGGGGTGCAGAGTGCTCAGGTGTCGCCCGCTGTTAACAGACCAAGTGTGAGCAGTACTGGCCGGAGGGCGAGCAGGTGTACGGGGACTTCACGGTGACACTCAGCAACACCTGGATAACCACGGGCCTGGTCACACGCACCTTCCGCCTGCAGAGGGTAAGGTGGGGGGCAGAGCCTCCTTGGGCTTCACCGACAGCCTGGCAGCCCTGCCCCTCCAGGGCCCCAGGGACTCCCCAGAGCTGGGGGGGGGGGGGCAAAGGGGGGGGGGGGGGGGAGGGTTGGAGGTTCCAGGGGCTCGGAGTGCCCTCTGCAGGCCCATGATACACTCACAAGCAAACCTAACCAGGAGCAGCTGTTGAAGCACGTATAAACTCTCAGTGCTGGGGCGTGGGCGTTTCCTGGGTGCGGGCGTTTCCCAGGGCCCAGCAGCCGGCTGGGAGGAGCTGCTGAGCCATCACTCGCCTGGGGACCCTGGCCCCCCTGGATGCGGGACATGCCCCGTGTTGCTGTTGTGCCCGGGAGATGCAGGCAGCCCCTGGAGAATACCACCCTGCGCGTTAGCCCGTCCAGCAGTCAGCTCCAGCCATTGCCCTGTCTCTAGCCTGGGCAGACGGGAGAGCTGCTTGTGGGCAGATCCCAAAGGCGAGGACACCAGCACCTGCAGCACAGCTGGGCAAGGGAGGCTGTCTCAGCCCGTGCAGCGTGGCTGGGCCCTGGTGGCTCTAGAGCAGGGGTAGGCAACCTATGGCACAGGTGCCAAAGGCGGCACACGAGCTGATTTTCAGTGGCACTCACACTGCCCGGGTCCTGGCCACCGGTCCGGGGGGCTCTGCATTTTAATTTAATTTTAAATGAAGCTTCTTAAACATTTTAAAAACCTTATTTACTTTACAGACAACAGTTTAGTTCTATATTATAGACATAAACAGAGACCTTCTAAAAACGTTAAAATATATGACTGGCACATGAAACCTTAACTCAGAGTGAATAAATGGAGACTCGGCACACCCCTTCTGAAAGGTTGCCGACCCCTGCTCTAGAGCCAAACAGCCTGTGTAGCATAGCCTGGCTGGGCCCTGAAACTGGCCTGTACCTGCCAGCCAGCCCCACTCCATCGCCCCAGCCCTCCTTGTACGGGCACTCTCCTGCAGCTCCATGTTCTCAGGGCGCTGGGGCTCCCGACAGCCTGGCCACAGGGGATGCTAGTGCCGGAGGGAGTCCTGAGTGCTGGGATCCCCTGCTCAATTCCCCGCCCCCAGCCCCCCACGTCTCCTGTCTGCCCTCTCCTCAGGCCGGTTCTCCTCTCCCGAGGCACATACAGCAGTTTCACTACCTGCTGTGGCCAGACCACGGGGTCCCCAGCAACACGGCCCGGCTCCTGCAGCTGGTGGAGATGGTGAACGAGAGGGTGTCGGAGGCGCCTGCCGGCCCCGTGCTCGTGCACTGCAGGTACTGGGCAGAAAGGGCTGGGGGGTGGGACAGGCCCAGGGCCCGGCGAGCGCCTCACTCCCTTCCCATGTCCCCAGTGCAGGGATCGGCCGCACAGGCACCTTCATCGCCCTGGACTTCCTCCTGAAGATGGCGCGGGCCGAGGGCAGCGTGGATGTCTTCCGCTGCGTGCAGAGGCTGCGGGAGCAGCGGGTCAGCATGGTGCAGACAAAGGTGAGGAGCTGAGCTGGGTGCCCAGGGCCGCCGATAGGGCCACCTGAGCAGGTGTTTGCTGCCCGCCCTGCCCGTAGTGCCCAGTTCAAAGGGCAGGTACTTTCAGGGTACCATCCCCTGGCTGCTGACCTCAGCTCCTGGGTCCTGGGGTCAGGCCAGTTACTCCCCCCCCAAGGGACCCTCCGCATGGATTTGGCCCTGCAAAGCCAGCCCCGCCACGCGGCATGTGGCCCAGCTGCAGGGAGCCAGCACTGAAGCTGCCCAGAGACTAGATTTTGGGATGCTGTCTCTGAGGGGAGGTCTGAGTCCCAGGGGTGCTGGCAGAACCCCCATGCTGGGATCTGAGAGCATCCTGGACAGGTCCCCGGCTCCCACAGGTGCTCCTGGGATGGGAACCCTCACACATGTGCCTGCAGGGAACTGATCACCCGGCTGGGGCCAGGGGGGCTGGGGGATTGTCTCCTTCCTCTGGAGCATGAGATGAGCCTGTCCCACAGGTCACAGGGGGCTCAGCTCTGCTGGTTCGGCTCCCTGGAGGGGGTGTGGCTGCGGATGGGGCTCCCCCCCCCCAAGAGAAATGTGCCAGGAGTCTGTTCCTTGGTGCGAGAGTGCCTGGTGTAGGGGTGGGTCTCCAGCCTGCCCTCAGGGTGCAGTTGATGGCACATGGTATCTGGGCTCCCCCCAGCACTTGGCATCACCTTTTGGCCCCATGTGCCGGCCCCCTGCTGCGGGCTGGGCTCTGGGGCCGACGCCTGCGTTCCCCTCCCCAGGAGCAGTACATCTTCCTCTACGAGGTGCTGCTGGAGGGGCTGCTGTGCGGGAACACCGGGGTCCTGGCGGAGAGCGCCCCCAGCCACGTCAGCCGCCTACGCCAGCCCGACGCCCAGACGCAGATCAACGGGTTCTCGCGGGAGTTCAAGGTACCTGTGGGAGGAACCACGGGGCGGGCCCAGGGGTGGGACTCTGCCTTCTCCCCTGGGCCAGGAAAGCAGGGGGCTGGGAGCCAGGGCTTCCGGGTCCTACTCCCTGAGCTGCCCTCAACTTGCTTTGTGACATTGGACAAGTCACCACCCATTTGTGCCTTAGTGCTCCGTGTTGTCTGGGCGCAGCGTTTCCCGGGACGTGGGGATGTGTCATGTGCTCCATGTTGTGTGGGCGCAGCGTTTCCTGGGCCATGGGGACGTGTCAGGTGCTCCCTGTCGTGTAGGAGCAGCATTTTACCGGGACATAGGGACGTGTCAGGTGCTCCGTGTCGTCTGGGAGCAGTGTTTTACTGGGACATAGGAACGTGTAAGGTGCTCAATGTCGTCTGGGAACAGCGTTTCCTGGGACGTGTAAGGTGCTCCATGTCGTCTGCGACAAGCGTTTCCAGGGACGTGGGGACGTGTCTCGTGCTCCATGTCGTCTAGGACCAGCGTTTTACTGAGACGTAGGGACGTGTCAGGTTCTCGGTGTCGTCTAGGAGCAGCATTTCCCGGGACGTGTCAGGTGCTCCGTTTCGTCTGGGAACAGCGTTTTACTGGGACATAGGGACACGTCAGGTGCTCGGTGTCGTCTGTGAGCAGCGTTTCCCAGGCTGTGGGAACGTGTCAGGTACTTGGTGTTGTCTAGGAGCAGCGTTTTATCGGGATGTAGGGACGTGTCAGGTTCTCGGTGTCGTCTGGGAGCAGCGTTTCCCGGGAGTTGCGGACGTGTCAGATGCTCCGTGTGGTCTGGGAGCAGCGTTTTCCAGTCTGTGGGGACGTGTCAGGTCCTCAATGTTGTCTGGGAGCAGCGTTTCCCGGGACGTGGGGACGTGTCAGGTGCTCCATGTCGTCTAGCAGCGTTTTACTGGGACATAGGTACGTGTAAGGTTCTCGGTGTCATCAGGGAGCAGCATTTCCTGGGATGTGGGGACGTGTCAGGTCCTTCCTGTTGCCTGGGAGCAGCCTTTCCCAGGCTGTGGGGATGTGTCGGTTGCTCGGTGTCGTCTGGGAGCAGCGTTTCCCGGGACGTGGGGACGTGTCAGGTGATCAGTGTCTACTGGGAGCAGCATTTTAGGGACCGTGGGTTTGGTGATATGCTCCGTGTCATCTGGGAGCAGCGTTTCCCAGGCTGTGGGGACGTGTCAGGTGCTCGGTGTTTTCTGGGAGCAGCGTTTCCTGGGCCGTGGGGACGTGTTAGATGCTCCGTGTCGTCTGGGAGCAGCGTTTTACTGGGACGTGGGGATTTGTCAGGTGCTCTGTGTCGTCTGGTAGCAGCGTTTCCCGGGCCGTCGGGATGTGTCAGGTGCTCCGTGTCGTCTGGGAGCAGTGTTTCCCAGGACGTGGGAACGTGTCAGGTGCTCGGTGTCGTCTGGGATCAGCGTTTCCCGGGCCGTCGGGACGTGTCAGGTGCTCGGCGTCCTAGGCTGTTGTTTATTACAAGGATCCTGCAATGGGATTGGTGGTGACGTAGTAGAATCTAGCTCTGCCCGAGATGGACCCACCCTGCACTTCTCTGGGCTACCTGGGGGCAGCTGTGTGCAGTGAGGAGGGGCCACTCTGCCAGCCCCTCTCCTGATGTGTTGAACAGCAGAGTCCCTCTCATGCTTGCTGCCCCACGGGCCCCGGCCCCTGGAGACGTGGGTGGGATCCGCTCCGTGGCATGAGCCCGGGGGTGGCTGAGGCGTGGCGTGGAGGCGGGCCGTGGGCATGGCGCTATCGGGTCTGGGGTGGGACCAGGGAGCCGCGGCTGGGACCTGACTCCGCTCCACCCTCCCGCCCTGCAGGCCTTGCAGAAGTTTTCCGAACTCTCCGCGCTCTCCCCATGCAAGGAGGCCCAGCAGCCCAGCAACCAGCCCAAGAACCGCAAGCCAGCGATCCTGCCAGGTAACACGGCGGGACTGGGCCTAGCCTGGGGCGACTGGGTGGGCACCATGCCCCAGGACGCCTCAGGGACCTGGCTTTCCTGAGGCCCTGACAGGGGTCTGTGGAGACTCGCTGCCGAGGGAGTGCCCTGCCTCTCAGCCCTCCCTGTCCCTGTCCCTGGCTGGAGAGCTCCCAGCCAGTGCTGCGCCAAGGGCCCAGGCCCAGGAGGGTTTTATTCTCTGTCCAAATCCCTCTGTCCTGCGTTCATGGCCCAGCCCCACCCGGCATCCACCAGCTGGTACCCCCGCCCCGTGCCGCCAGCACCCCCCGAGCGCCGAGGGCCGGGACACTGGAAACGGAAGGGGTCTGCTCCCCCGCAGGGCCAGGCGCCAGGCACAGACGCTGTGAGCTCTGGGGGGCTGGGCGCAGCTGCACGTGGTGCTTGTCGGCCCAGGCCGGGGGCTCGCGCCCGTGTGAGGGGCTTGGGTACAGACAGCCTGGCTCAGACACGACCTCTCTCCTTCCATCCCCTCCCAGCGGATTGCAGCCGCCCCATCCTGATGTCCTCCCTGAAAGCGGACGGCTCGCCTGGCTACATCAACGCGGTCTTTGTGAGCGTAAGGCTGCGTCTGTCCGGAGCGTGGGCGCGAGCAGCGAGCCCAGGAGTTCCCCAGCCCCAGCCCTTGTGTCTGTTTGCCAGGGCGTGGTCTGCTCCCGCTGGCAGTGCCCAGCGATGGGGCTTCCGAGCACCAGTCTTCCCTGGGGACTCCCCCAGACACCGGCCTCAGACCAGGAGATGGTCCCCGAGGATCAGCCTCAGTCCCCTGTGCCGCGTCCCCCCCCCCCCCCCCCAGACACCCAGCTGTGCCGCATCCCCTCCCCTCCCCCACAGCCCAGCTGTGCCACATCCCCTCTCCTCCCCTCCCCCACAGCCCAGCTGTGCCACGTCCCCTCCCCCCAGCCCAGCTGTGCCATGTCCCCTTCCCCCTCCTCCCCCACAGCCCAGCTGTGCTGCATCCCCCCCTTTGCCCTTGGCTTGCTGGAGCGGCCCTGCCCCGCAGGGTGAGCCCTGTCGCTGGGTCTGGGCTGGGGACCCTGGCGCCTCTGGCTGGGGGCAGGAGGGACCCAGAGCCTGAAGCTGGGCTGGTACTTTGGGCTGGGGGGAGATGGTCCGGGGCAGTATCTCAGCCTGTGTGTGGGTCACGTTTCCGCTCGGCAGAGCCCCTGGCTGGTCCCCTCCATGGCAGGGCTAGGCCAGCAGCATGGCTGGCGGGGTGAAGGCTCTGGGTGGTGCCCGAAGCAGGGGCAATGGCTGGTGGCTCCACTGGCTCCGTCTGTCTTGCAGACGTACGCGGAAGACGACACCGTCATCGTCACCCAGCTGCCGCTCAGGGAGACACTGGTGGATTTCTGGGCCTTGCTCTGGGACTACACCTGCACCGCACTGGTCATGCTGAACCGCCTCGAGGAGCTGGACCAGGTGAGCCCTGCGCCATCTCCCCTGCCCACACGGGGCCTCCCCAGGCTCTGCCAGCCCTGGGCATGGGCAGCTCGCAGCAGGGCCCTGGCACACCCTGCTGAGGCTCGGGGTGACCAGCTGCGGGCTCGTAGCACAAACGGGGGATGGAGGGGGATGGAGCTTGAAGGAGAACCCCCACCTCCCCTCCTCACCACAGTGACGGGGTTTCCGTCCCAGCCATGGGGCTGGCTGCCCACGCTGTAACCCCCAGAGCTGCCTTTCTCACTCCCGGGGGGACAGAGCCTCCGGCGGAGCCGCCCGGCCAGGCCAGGCAGCGGAGGGTGCTAGGGATGCCTGGGTGCCTCCAGGGGGGTGGGTGCATTTGTGTGTGGAGTGGGGTTGGGGGCGGCGTCTGTCTGTCTGTGGGGCTTTGCAGCTTACTCCTCTCACCATCACACACTGGCACTCTCTGCAGAGAGACTGGGGCTACGCTGTGTGTCCGTGCGTCGGGCGGCTGCAGCCTCCCAGTTCACGGGGGTGCTGTGCCACCTCCCGCTCTGCTCCCCCCGCCGGCAGGGTGCCTGGCCTGGAGTGTGGGGGGACACAGGGCCCTGCACCCCCGGCTTCCTGCGATTCACCATGACTCTCAGCCAGCCAGTAAAGCAGACGGTTTATTTAGACGACAGGAACACAGTCCAAGACAGGTCTTGCAGGCACAGACAACAGGACCCCCCCCCAATTAGGTGCATCTTGGGGTCCCAGGGGCACCACAGCCCCGTTGCAGGGTCAGAGCCCCGTCTGGGCTCCCTCCATTACCAGCCAGCTCCTGACCAACCTCAACTCCCTCCAGCGTCTCTCACCCCTCCTCTCCCGGCTCCTCCCACAGCCTTTGTCCAGTTTCCCCCGGCAGAGGTGTCACCTGGCCCCAGCCCCCTCCTGGGTTCTCACGTTACATGCTCACGTATCCTCCCTCAAGGCCAGTCTCCCATCCCCCAATGCAGACTGTCCCAGCCGAACTCCCCTGCAACCTTCCCCGGCCAACACTCCCCACTCAGCATTCAAAGACCACATTAAGAACAGTCCCAGTTCGTCATAGCCTGGCATGGAGCTGCGGACCGGGCACCCCTGTCCTAGCAGCGGCAGCCCAGGCTCCCCCACCCCATCCATCGCCTGTGCTGCAGCTCCCTGGCACTGCTTCCCCGCTGCCCTGCGTAACCCGAGCCCCTCCCGGCTCGCCCAGGGCGTCTGTCAGGTGCAGTCCCAGCCGGTGGAGTGGGACCCAGGGGCTGGCTGAGAGATAGGAGATGCAGGCCTGGGGGTGCTCATCTTGGCCGGATTGCTGGGGGTGCAGTTGCACATGTGGACCCTGGCGCCAGTGGTTCCCGTAGCGGTATGAGTGTACATGTGTGAGGACACTAGGTGCGTGTGCCCTGTCTCTGGCCGGGCCGGTGTGTGGGCACTCAAGGGGGTGGGGGATGCTTTGTGCATCAGAACACTGCTATGAACGCTTCCCGTGTGCTGGCGTTAGGCCTGTGTCTGTGCGTGTGCATGGTTCCGTGTGTGCCCTGTGAGCACACGTCTGTGAGCAGGCCCGTGTGTGGGGTCTGAGCGGTTCCCGTGCGTGCCGGCATTAGGCGTGTGACTGCGTGTGCCGGTTCCATGTGTGCCCTGTGAGCACACGTCTGTGAGCAGGTCTGTGTGTTCACTCCCCAGACATACCTGGCGTTCTGGCCTGCGCACGGAGAGGCCTCTTACGGCCGTTTCCACGTCAAGCTGATCTCGGAGGAGCCGGGAGCTGGCTTCACCATCCGCACACTCGCTGTAACCAACAGGCAACAGGTAGGCCCTGCCCCAGAGTGGGGTGCCTGGGATGGTCCTGGGTCTTCCTCTGAGGTCAGCCCTCAGGGCCCTGCCCCCCAGGAAAGCCGTGGGTGGCCCAGCAGGGCTCCCAGCTCAACAGAGACCCAGCTCAGAGCTGAGAGTCAGGGCTAACGACTGATCCGACCACAGAGATCAGAGCCGCTATCGCTGCCCTGAGAGGGTGACCCTCGCCTGGCCAGGGCCCTGGGGGACTCCAGGTGGGACCCTCAGAGCAGAGCTGGGCCCTCGCCCGCCTAGAGGGCGATTACTCTCCTCCAGAGGATGGGTCTGTGCGGGGAGGGTGTTGGCAAGTCCGGCTGCCTTTCAGAGCCGTCCTCTGCGAAAGGCAGCCCGGCAGCCAGGCTGGAGAGAAGGCAGGGCCCACACGGTATCCTGACTTCCATCTGTCCTGCTGTACTCAGCCGCGTGAGGCCTCGGCTGCCGTCCTGTGCCCAAGCCTGGGCGCCCCACGCTTTGGGAAAAGGGGGCAAGCTGGCGAGAGGCCAGAGGAGAACAACACAAAGGAGAGACAGTTCAGAAAACCTGGCTGGTGGGGGAAGGGTCAAAGAACAGGGCACGTTCAGGGTTGGGGAAAGAAGACGGCCTGGGGGGACCTGAGAACAGTTTTCAGATGCGAAGGGCTGTTCTACAGAGGATGGGGATCAAGTGTTCTCTGTGGCCACGGAGGTAGGACAGGAAGTGGTGGGCATAATCCGCAGCAAGGGAGCTGTGCGTTAGCAATTAGGAAAAACGTTCTGACTCTCAGGGTAGTTCAGCTCTGGAAGAGGCTCCCAGGGGAGGTGGTGGGATCCCCGTCACTGGAGGGTCCTAGGCCAGGTTGGACAAACCCCTGTCAGGGCTGGTGTAGGGTTCCTTGGCCCTGCCTCCAGGCAGGGGGCTGGACTTGGCCTCTCGAGGTCCCTTCCAGCCCCGCATTTCCCAGAGTCGGGTTTGTGGCTCTGGGGGGCCGGAGCCAGGCTGTTCGGAGACGCAGGCTGTCACCATTGGGACGGTCGCTCCCCCAGGTTTGCGTGAGGGTCTGGTACGACCTAGGCCTGTCCCTGTCCCATAGCTCGTCCTCGGGCTGGGGGCCAATGGCTGAGCTTGTGGAAGGGTCTGATGGCAAGTAGCCCCCTCCCCTCTCCGGGGCTGCCCCCTTTCTGCCATGAGCCTTCCCTGAATCTCCCACTGGCCTTGCGCGAGGGTTTCTTCTCTGCCCGAGGCTGACTGCTGCGGTTCCTCCCCTCCTCACTAGCCTAAGAAGGCCGCGCGGGAGATCAGGTTCTGGCAAGTAGACGACTGGCCCATGCAGCAGCAGCTCCCCCCACACCCTGCCACCATCATCAGCCTGCTGGGGGAGGTGGAGCGGAGCCAGCGGACAAGCCAGGACAGCCACGTTCTCGTCACTTGCTGGTGAGTGAGGGCTCTGGGCCGGGCAGCCCTGGCGCGATAGCCGGCCCGTGGTCCCGGCTCCAGCAGCACCTGGCGCGACAGGCTGTCTCTGCCCGGTGGGGAGCTGGAGCTCACTCCCATCCCTGTAGCGGGCGCTTGGCACAGACTCTCCCGGGTGGAGGTTGGCGTAGACTGGGACCGTTGATGGCTGTGGAACCAGCAGCAACCGCAGGCAGGGCCGGGTTCAATATCTGGGGGTCCCTTTCCATCGATACAACACAGAGCCGGCTCGAGCCCCCACCCAGTGACCCAGGAAAATTACACCCCCCGCCCATGGCACCTCTGAGAGGCCAAACTCCCCCTCTCGCAAGCACAGAGTCCGAGTGTAGGAAAGAAACTTGTAAAGAAAGGAGGGAAGTTACCCTGCATTAATTAGGGAAAATGCCACAAGCAGGATTCAGAAACAAACTGTGAGCAGGACGCTCACCCAGAGTGCGTGGGGCAGAGCTTCCGCCTCGTGTTCTTCCGTCCTACAACCGAACGTTCCTTTTCTGTGCCCCCCTCTGCTCCCTCACCGCACCCCACTCGCAGGGGGTGTCCTGGGTCAGTGAGGACCCAGGGGTCAGAGGCGCAGCTGGGTGAGTTCCCCTCCCACCCGGGGGAGAAGGCACCTGGCTTGCTCCGGCCGCCCGCCCTGCTGCCCCACCAGCCGCGGTTCCTCTCTGCTGGCTCCCCTGCCAGCCACTTATTCTGCTCACCGCCGCACCAGCCACTCGGTCACCAGCCGACTATCAGTCGCCTTCTGCTGCCACCTGCCTCTCTGCTGTGACCTTGGCACATCCGTCTCTCAGTGATTGACAGCTCTGTGCAGGCTGGGCAGAGACACGGCCCCCTCTGGGGTGATTGCAGCTCTCAGGGATTTTTAGCTCTTAGCAGGCAGCGCAGGAACCCAGTCCTACTACAACGGGTTCCAGCTCTGATTGGGCATTTAACAGAACAAAGAGACTCCTAATGAAGCCTAGTTAGCTCTTTCTTTGAACAGTTGAGGGAACAGATTAAACCAGTCTAGGGACCTTCAGGGAGAATCCACACCCCCTGGCTGGGACACCTGTGCCCACCCCTCTTACTGTCATGGGGCTCTGGCATTCGAGACCCTGGCTTAATGAGGTCCTTTCAGCTGAGGGCGACCCCCTCATTTGGGGCAGGTTAAGCACAGCCCTGCCCCCCTTTACTCCTACAATAAAGACAACAACATGGATAACGACGTTTCACTCCCCTGCAGTCAGTATTAAAGTGATTTGTAACCCAACACCAGCCAAAGGTGATCACTTTGAGCAACACACCTCTGTCTGCTGGTGTAACGATGCGGCCTCTGGCGGGACACTACTGAGAGTATCAATTCAGGACAAATTGCTCAGAGCAGGGCAGTCACAGCCCCAGGCTGGGGTTTCTCCACCTCTAAGGCACCAAACCAGCCAGACAAAGAGGACTTTGGTCTCACCCCACTGGCTAACCAGAAATCACACAAGCAATTCCCTTAGACACTCCAGTTTCCCAGTATCACCACCAGTGCCACTCGTTATGGGGATGAATGGTTATGAAAACCAATACCCCAGTAAAAGAAAAAAGGTTCTCCTGATCCCAAAGGACCAAGACCCAGACCCAGGTCAATATAAAAGTTAGATCTTACCCACAAATCACGCTGTTGACAATCCTTTAGAATATAAAATCTAAAGGTTTATTCATAAAAAGAAAGAAATAGAGATGAGAGCTAGAACTGGTTAAATGGAATCAGTTACATACAGTAATGGCAAAGTTCTTGGTTCAGGCTTGTAGCAGTGATGAAATAAACTGTAGGTTTAAATCAAGTCTCTGGAACATCCCCAGCTGGGATGTGTCACGGAGTGTGGGGGGGACACAAGGCCCTGCACCCCCGGCTTCCTGTGATTCACCATGACTCTCAGCCAGCCAGTAAAGCAGAAGGTTTATTTAGACAACAGGAACACAGGTCTTGCAGGCACAGACAACAGGACCCCCCCCCAATTAGGTGCATCTTGGGGTCCCAGGGCCCCACAGCCCCCTTGGGAGGTTAGAGCCCTGTTTGCCTCCCAGCCATTCCACCAGCCAGCTCTGAAAACTCTCCCTTCAGCGACCCCTCCCACAGCCTTTGTTCAGTTTCCCGGGCAAAGGTGTCACCTGGCCTCTAACCCCTTCCTGGGTTCTCATGTTACATGCTCAGGTATTCTCCATCAGTCAGTCTCCGATCCCCCAATGCAGACTATCCTAGCCACACTCCCCTGTCAGCATTCAAAGACCACAGTAAGAACAGTCCCAGTTCGTCACAGGATGGGTCCTCAGTCCTTTGTTCAGAGCTTCAGGTTGTAGCAAGGTTCCTCCAGAGGTCAGCAGCAGGATTGAAGACAAGATGGAGGAGATGCAGCAGCCTTTTATAGTCTCTTGCCATGTGGCCTCTGCTTCCTTTGTTCCAAACACAAGCTGCCCATCACCTGACCTGGCAAAACCTTAGAGTTCTGTCCATAGGCCTGTCCCTGCCTTGCTGAGTCACAAGGTGTATCTGCCTTCTCTCAATGGGTCAATTGTAGCTGATGGTCCTTAATGGGCCATCAAGCAGGCCAGGCAGTGCTGATGCCAAATTGTCTGGGGTGTCACCCAGAAACAGAGCACAAGTTTGAAATACAGACAGGATAGAGCCAACACTTATAACTTTAAATACAAAAATGATACGTGGATACAGATAGCATAATCATAACCAGCAAACCATAACATTGTCTTAGACACCTTATTTGACCCCTTTATACAAGATTTGGTGCCACTACAGGACCTTGGTTGCAACAATGATCTATACGGTCACCGTTCATGTCAATACATCACAGCTGGGTACCTAGGCAGAGCAGGTGTGTTTATGTAAATACAGTCTGGTCCTGAAGTCTGCCGCCCCCCCTCCCCACCGAGCTGTCAGGGGAGAATTCATTCAGATCCTGCTTAGTTGATAGACCCTTGAGCCTCCAGGTCCTCGTCACCTGGAACAGCCTCACTACAGCAGAGCCATCTCTGCTCCCTCCCCTGGGACTCGCACCCAAACCGCCCAGCGTAGTGCCCAGGGCTGCCTTCTGCAAGCCCCCCGACTGACTAGCTGGCGGGAGCGTGCGGCTGAGAGCCCCCCCCGGACTGACCGGCTGGCGGGAGCGTGCGGCTGCGAGCACCCCTCTCCCCCGACTGACTGGCTGGCGGGAGCATGCGGACCGGGCACCCCTGTCCGAGCTGCAGCAGCCCAGGCTGCCCCGCCCCCGCCATAGCCCGGGCTGCAGCTCCCTGGCGCACCAGCCCCGTAGAACAGCCCCAGGTCTGGCCCCTGGCAGCTTGGTGCCATTGGGCGACCCCTGGCCTGCGCCGATCTGCACTTCCCTTCTCCCCCGCAGGGACGGTGCCAGCCGCTGCGGGCTCTTCTGTGCCGCCAGCTTCGTGTGCGAGCAGATCCGCAGCGAGGGGCTGCTGGACGTCTCGCAGGCGGTGAGAATGCTGAAGCGCCGGCGACGGCAGATGATCAAGGACGTGGTAAGTGCCCCAGCCTGGCCCAGACAGGCCGGTGCTCCTGCTGCCAGCCCCAAGGCCAGGAGCCACAGCTCAGGCAGCCCCGGCGACTGCCCCAATCGCCCCGGGGACAGTCACACAATCAAAGGTCCTGCTGCCCTGGCGTCCCATGCGCTGCTCTCAGTCCCTCCCTCCCCGGCTCCTTGGGCCCAGGCTGATTCCAGACTCCCAGAGAGGGAAACAAGCCCCAGCCCCAGCTGCCTCGGGGTGATGGGGGGAGTGAGACCTGCGGCCTCTGGGGATTGTGCTTCACGTCAGAGGCTACGGTGATGGGCTCCGCTAGAGCCAAGACAGCATGGCAGGAGTGGGAGCTCCTGCCGGGGCCGGCTCAGGGGGGCTGCGGCCGGGATCCAGCTCCTGCCAGGACCAGCTCGGGGGGGCTGCGGCCGGGGGCCGGGCTCCTGATGGAGGCTGGGTTTCTGACCCTAGATCTGGCTGGGAGGACACACTCGAGCATGGCTCACTCAGGAGCTGCGAGACCCACAGCCGGCCCTGCACGCCGAGGGGCGAGAGCAGGGGCATGTGCGGGTGGGTCAGGGCCTGTGACCCGGTGGCTCACGTGCAGCTTCTCTCCCCAGGCGCAGTACACGTTCTGCTACGAATTAGCCCTGAGCTACCTGGACTCAGTAAAAATCTATGGGAATTTCAAATAGAGGCGAGCAAGAGACCGTCTCGAGTCAGGACCTGCCACTGCTGCTGCTTCTCGTGGCACCTCCGTGCTGCTCTGTGCCCAGGCAGACGCCCTGTCCTGGGGAGCGAGCCGGGGCCATGGAACCTGGCAGAGACGAGGAGGGTCCTGGTGGTGCCGGCTGGAACGCTCTGCACTCCTGACACTCCGTACCCTGGAGCCCACACAGCTGGCTGAAGCAGACAATTTCCTCTGGGATCATTTCCGGGGCGTGGGTTGATCCCAGACTTTGCCCAGCCAGGGACTTGGGCGGTAACTTACCTGGACCCAGTGAGTGTGCACTGTGACGTCTCAGGGTTAGCCGAGGTGTCCAGGGGGAGTCGCTACCGCCGCTCAGAGCGGGAGGGAGCCCTGGCCATGCCCACCAGGAAAACTCTCCCAGAGTCCCGGCTGCCGGCAACACGAGCTCTCCACTCCGGGCTCCGCCAGCCCTGTGCCTTCCCTCTGCAGGCTGGTCATTTACACGCCCTGCCCGGTTCCACTCCCGGGCCTGATCCTGCGTCTCCTGGACCCCAGCAACACACACCGATCTGCTGCCCTGTGGAAACGGCGCCTCAGTGTATCAGCTTCACCTCGGTTCAACCCACATTTTAGGTGCAGCCCAGCCTGTCGTCTTGTGAGCACGGCCCAGTGCCGGGGCAGCAGCTGTACCAAGGAAAACCCAATCCCCAGATTCCTGTTTGTCGCCTTTTCGTCATTAGAACAGGAGTCCTGGTGGCACCTTAGAGATGAACACATTGATTTGGGCATAAGCTTTCGTGGGCTACAGCCCACTTCATGGGATGCATGGAATGGAACGTATAGTAAGAAATATATATATACATACAGAACATGAAAAGGTGGAAGTAGCCTGTAACAGGCAGACCAGTCCTCGCTTACAGACAGCCCCCCAACCTGAAGCAAATACTCACCAGCAACCACACATCACACAACAAAAACACCAACCCAGGAACCAATCCCTGCTACAAAGCCCGATGCCAACTCTGTCCACATATCTATTCAAGTGACATCGTCATAGGACCTAATCACATCAGCCACGCCATCAGGGGCTCGTTCACCTGCACATCTACCCATGTGATATATGCCATCATGTGCCAGCAATGCCCCTCTGCCATGTACATTGGCCAAACCGGACAGTGTCTACGCAGAAGAATTAATGGACACAAATCTGACATCAGGAATCGTAACATTCAAAAACCAGTAGGAGAGCATTTCAACCTCTCTGGCCACTCAGGGACAGACCTAAAGGTGCCAATTTTGCAACAGAAAAGCTTCAAAAACAGACTCCAACGAGAAACTGCTGAACTGGAATTAATTTGCAAACTAGACACCATTAACTTGGGCTTGACTAGAGACTGGGAGTGGCTGGGTCACTACACTAATAGAATCTATTTCCCCATGTTAAGTATCCTCACACCTTCGTGTCAACTGTCTGGAATGGGCCATCTTGATTATCACTACAAACGGTTTTTTTCTCCTGCTGATAATTGCTCATCTTAATTAATTAGCCTCTTACAGTTGTTATGGCAACTTTCACCTTTTCATGTTCTCTGTATGTATATATATCTCCTCATTATATGTTTCATTCTATGCATCCCATGAAGTGGGCTGTAGCCCACGAAAGCTTATGCCCAAATAAATGTGTTAGTCTCTAAGGTGCCACAACGACACCTCGTTCTTTTTGCGGATACAGACTAACATGGCTGCGACTCTGAAACTTATCGTCATTAGTTATGGATTCTGGCAAAGCTCAGACACATTAACACGCTTCCAGGCTGCGCCGGGGACTAAGGTTGCCCTTGTGTTCAAGGCCCTGCCCAGAGGGTGGGCGCTGCCATTGAACAACTTGCTATAAATGGCACAAGTTTAAACATCAAAAGCAGCCGATTAAAGCTCAGTTTAAAGCTCTCTTGGGCCACGTTGCCTGGGCTCACCGGGCGAGCACACCCCCGGCTTCAGTTCAAATCCGATCTGGGTCTCGCCTGCACACGTGAACCTTCAGTTATTGCTAGGAACAAGCCAGAGAAACCCGAGCTCTGACCTGAAATCTCACCACTCCTCCTTTGGCCTGTGACCAGGGAGGAGGGGAGGGCTGGGCACGGGGCTGGGCCGAGCATGTGCCCGTAGTCCTGTGACCCGGGGGGAGGGGAGGGCCGGGCACGGGGCTGGGCCGAGCATGTCCCTGTAGTCCTGTGACCCGGGGGGAGGGGAGGGCTGGGCACGGGGCTGGGCCGAGCATGTCCCCTTAGTCCTGTGACCCGGGGGGAGGGGAGGGCGTCAGCAAAGCTCAGAGATCTGCACAGTGCCAGCGGGGCTCTAGCCTGTCTGGGTCCGTGGGAGGAGGCAGCTCCGTGCTGGGCACTGACCAGCCGGCGTGCAGCTCTCAGTGCGCTGGTTCTCTGCTGCTCCGCTTGGGTCCAGTGGAAGGTGTCGGTGGGTAACAAATCTCCTCACCGCGTCGGCTAGCCGGGAGGGTGAGCTCGTTCCCTGGGCAGTGGGTGAGAATTCGCCCGGCCCAGCACCGCGACCCCCCTTTCCAGCAATGTCTCGTAATGCTCCCAAGTGACACGCTGGGTCGCTGCTGAGATTCTGCGATGCTCAGTGAGGCAGGAGGTCCCTTCTAGAGCCAGGGAATCGTCTTTTCCCCTCCGGTGCAGAACAATTCCTGCCGTCTCTATTGTGCACCGGTCGCTGCGCGAGACACCAGACCCAGATCCCGTCTAGTTCCTACCCCCATTACGTCCAGTCCCTTTAATGACACACACACACACCCCCAGGGGCACACGGGCCGGGGCAGGACCAAGAGCCGAGCCAGAGGGAGCGCTGGAGCGCTGGTTCACAAGCCAGCCCAACGGAGGGGTTGGGTGAATGGGGGGAGGGTTGGATTTCTTGGGGGAAGGGGCATTTGCCCCATTTGCCCTTCACTTTTCTGGGTCTCACTGCAAGCTACTGGTAGGTGGTTTAACGCCCATAGCCCCATACTCAGCCCTGGCCCTGCGTTTGCACACGGGAGACAACAGGGCACCGGGCCCAGGAAAAGGGGCAGTTAGTCTTGCCTGGGGCCCGCAGGGCTGCTCAATAGGTGGCCGAAGAGAGACGGGAGGCTGCCCCACACGTGACTTATGGAGGCAGTGGAGGGAGGAGCTCACAGCTGGGGGATCCCCAGTCAGGACCAGGGAATGGTGTGTTTGAACCTTAGCGCAGTCAATGCTCCCACGCGAGATGCTCGCCCGGCGGGATGGGACTAGTGCACCTCATAGGCTCTAGCTCCAGGGGCAGCGACCGGTTTGGGACATGCATGGGGGGGTGCTGGCAAGCGTAATCGCTACAGCCAGACAGACGGGCAGCGGTTCTGACACCGCCCCTTCGCACGCTCCTCACCTCGCTTAGCCACGCTGGACCCATTTCACTCCATAAGCCATTGCTCCAGCTCCCCGTGTGTCTCGCTACTGCTCCGCGGCCCCGCACTGGGCCCCATAGCCTGGGTGCAGCTGCACGACAGACCGGCCTCTCGTGCTCTGGGACGTGGCGCTTTTGCTGCAGCAGCACGACATCGCAGCAGGAGGCCAGACACGCTCATTGCTGCTGGCCGGGGCGGGAACCTGCACAGCCGGAGCTGGGACCTCCGGCTACAAGTCCAGCACCCCCCCCCCCCGAAGTGCTGGAGGGGCCAGGGGCCTGCGTCGGCACCGTCTGGCACCTGGGGATGTGGCAGCGTTTCTTGCCCCTCTGCACAGGTGTGTACAATGGCCCAAGGGGCTGGCCGGTGAGGAAGTGAGCACACAGCTGGACCCAGCGCCCTGGAGGGGAAAGGCCCCGTACCCCCTTCCTGGCTCCACCCTAGCCAGCCCTTCCCCACTGTGCTGGGCCGGACGGGAGCCAGTGCCCTCGAGGGGAAAGGCCCTGTATCCCCTTCCCGGCTCCCTCAGCTCCTGCGTTTCCTCTCTCTACTCAGACGTCTTCCTCGGTGCCCAGCTTGGCGTGAGGAAGCGCCAGCACTGAGCTCAGGGGCTACGTTCATCCGCCAATCCCTAAACTGTTCTCAGTGGTGGCAGATGACAGAACAAGGAGCAATGGTCTCAAGTTGCAGTGGGGGAGGTCTAGGTTGGATATTAGGAAACACTATTTCACTAGGAGGGTGGTGAAGCACTGGAATGGGTTACCTAGGGAGGTGGTGGAATCTCCATCCTTGAGGTTTGTAAAGCCCGGCTTGACAAAGCCCTGGCTGGGATGATTTAGTTGGGGTTGGTCCTGCTTTGAGCAGGGGGTTGGACTAGATACCTCCTGAGGTCCCTTCCAACCCTGATATTCTGATTCCCCGGGGTGGGCCCCGGCTGCTCTGCCAACGGTGCCGAGGGGAGAGGGGTCCTGGTGCTGCTCTGCAATGGGCAGCCGTGCTGGGGGCCGCGTGTGTAGAGACAGGTCTGGGTGTCATGGAGTCACAGCGGGAACAGCTCTGGATGAAGTCAGCCAGGACTCTGGGGCAGCGTCTCCCCTCAGGGCACCTTCACCAGGGCAAGGAGTCTGCTCAGCTTCGGCGCCTCCTGGGTCTGACCTCGGAGCGTTCAGCCTCCTGCTCACCCCGGATCTCCCCACAGCGAGTCCCCCTCGACGGGACCCCTGGGGAGTCACACCCCCACAGGGCCCTGCCCCCCACTCTGCAGCCAGCAGTGACTCAGCCAGCGTGTGACACAGACGCATTATTAGCAGGGCCGGCACTTCCACTAGGCGACCCTAGACAGTCGCCTTGGGGGGCGGGATTTTGACGCCCTCGGCGGAAATTCGGCAGTGGGTCCTTCGCTCGCTCCGGGACCTGCTGCTGAAGTGCCCCGAAGACGTGGAAGGACCCCCCGCCGCTGCATACTCCAGGCCCCATGAATGCTCAGAGGAGGAGTGTCGCGGAGTGTGGGAGGACACAAGGCCCTGCACCCCCGGCTTCCTGCGATTCACCATGACTCTCAGCCACCCAGTAAAGCAGAAGGTTTATTTAGATGACAGGAACACAGTCCAAGACAGGTCTTGCAGGCACAGGCAAGAGGATCCCCCCCAGTTAGGTCCATCTTGGGGTCCCAGGGGCACCACAGCCCCATTGGGGGGGGTCAGAGCCCCATCTGCGCTCCCTCCATTACCAGCCAGCTCCTGACCAACCTCAACTCCCTCCAGCCTCTCTTTCCCCAGCCTTTGTTCAGTTTCCCAGGCTGAGGTGTCACCTGGCCTCTAACCTCTTCCTGGGTTCTCAGTTATATGCTCAGGTATTCTCCCTCACGGCCAGTCTCCCATCCCCCAATGCAGACCATCCTAGCCAACCTCCCTTCTCAGCATTCAAAGACCACATTAAGAACAGTCTCAGTTCGTCACCTCTCGCCCCCCTTCGAGACCGAACTGAGCAGGGTCACTTCAGCCAGTGATCTGGGGAAGTTCGAACCTACCCCCCTTCCCGTGGATGCCCCAGCATCCCTCCCATTCCTTGGTGAGAATTACACCAGGCCCCTCCAGTTTCACACCCCCTCTCGTAGTTCACATGTGGGAAGGCTTATGAGGCCCGTGCCCTTTTCCCACCCCAATACCCCTGGGGTTCCAGCTGGGCTGGGGTCTTCTCTCAGCGTT